TGAAAATAGGTGTTTCTTAGGGCATTCAACAAGTGCCCCTCCCCTCCGAATAAAATTTCTGGCTACGGGCCTAGTGTTGAACCTTCCACCTTCGACGTATAAAGGCCTCCGCGGTGTCATCAGTAGCGAAAATCCAGAAAAATAACAAGGAGGCACTCATATCAAACAATGGCGGCCATTTTGTTTTCAATAGAGGCTTTATTTTCATTTACATGTCAATTAAAATATGTTCAAAACAAAAATAAAAAAGTGAGCATGAAGTCATATCTTGAGTAACTGCACTGTTATACTCAGTATTCTTTGCGCCGGTTGAGTGGCTTTTGCGGTTTCCATAGTCTCACCCTGCTGGGGGGTATTGAACCACGTGCAGCTTTCTCGGTCATTTATAGAACACAGGTATGCGCTGAAAAAACGACTAGCATTTAAAAAATTGAATGCGCTATACTTAATTGTCCAGTAACTGAAATATATGATGTATCAAAGCTAAATCTCAAGGGGGGGGGGGACTTGCAAGTGTTGCCCCCCCCCCCCCCCCCCCCCACGCCTGAACCCAAAGGGAGTCCGGAACCGCGACCCCCCATGATTTACGCCAATGGGCGGCATAGTGACTATGGTTTTCGGCTACTCACCCGAAACACACGAGTTCGATTGCGGCCGCCGTGGTCGGATTTCGACGAAGGCTAAGTGCTAAACGCCTGTTTACTCTGCAATTTCAGCGTGCAGTAAAGAATCAGACAGCGCGCTCCACTACGGCGTCTTTCCTGTAGCTTGAATAGCTTTGGGAAGCTCATCTCTATAGACAAATTAACCAGATACCGATCTATATTATCTCGTATATCGAACATTCCAGGCATATACAGCATGCAGACCTCGAACTGCGAATTTGGTAACTCAAATGACGCGCTAAGAGAGAACGGACGTTGTGGCGGCGCACCAATCAGTTGGTGTTAAAGGCGACGGCGCGCCAACGTCTCGGTGTCACAGTGCCTTTCTTGTTCATCTTGCTGATATGCATTGAGAACTTTCCTTCCTCCGTGATTGAGAAGAAGCCGTAGCAAAGCAAGGAGATTATACTTAAACTTCTGGAGTGGCGGTCCCGCATATCCGCTCATGTATCAAAGTGAAGCTGAGGCGGCCATATTGCTCAGAACAGAAGGAGACGGCACTTGTCTTGTAGCACCGTAATCATGGAGGAAGGAAAAAACAACAGTTTCTTCCTCCATGGCCGTAAAGCTCTGGGCGCTTGCGGCTGTGCGCTTCGTTTGGATACAAAGGCACCTGTTTATTATTCTTATAAGGCGAGGGAACGTGGGAGCGACTTTATTGCACATCTGGTTTAGTTTTTCTTGGACACTTGGCATTTTAAGCGTGTTAAAAAATTGGCAGCGTATCCCCGGAGTGAATGATGGAGAGTGGGGCGAAGCATTCGTCCGTCCATTCGTTCTTGCTTCCATCCATCCATGCGTCCGTCTGTGTGACCATCCATGCGTCCATCCGCCCGTCCGTGCGTGCGTCGTTCGTGTGTCCGTCCCTGCGTCCGTTCATGCGTCCATCCATGCATCTGTCTGTGTGTCCGTTCGTCCATCTATTCAACACTCCAAGTACCATCATCTCGCATCTTTTCATCATATATTCCCCATATAGAAGCACCGCCATCCAGCGGACATTCCAAGGACTGAACGAGAGGAGGCACACGCACACTTTCTTACAGCTTGCGCTTCGTGTCTACTTCCCACTTTTAACCACCTCGAGTTCATAGTATATACTAGTTCACTGCATTCAAGGCACTGCGGTCCAGCGCTCGCTAAACCTTTCTAAAGAAAACCAAGGAGGTTACGCCCAGCGAGTATAACGTAGCAACCTTTTCCTGTCAGATAGTGCTCAATGTACATGCCAATGGCTGCTAATGGGAAATGAGAGACAGGATAATTTGGCGTTTACTTTCTTACGGCTCGCGCTTCGTATCTACTTCCCACCTTTAACTACCTTGAGTTCATTCATGGTATATACTAGTTCATTGTATTCATGGCACTGCGGCTCAACGCTCGCTAAACCTTTCTAAAACTAAGGAGGTTACACTCAGCGAGTATAACGTACCAACCCTTTCTTGTCAGATCGTGCTCAATGTACATGCCAATGGCTGCTAATGAGAGTCGCAGCGTGCGCGTTAACTAAAAGCCGAATGCTCCTGTCTTTCATTCGCCATAAGCAGCCATTGAAATGTACATTGAGCGTTATTTTTTGTTGTTCAACAACGCACAGAATAAATCTCTCACCAGCACCACCTTGGAGGTCAAAATGTTATACTTGTTACATACTGCAACAGCTACGAGGGACGAACAGGTGTCGCTATAAGGAGTTTCGCCCCTAAAACGCCAGGCCTGCATGGAACGCGCAGCTACTCCTAAGTGGTTCTAAGAGAGAAAGGAAGAGAAAAGTGAGCCCCGTAACTGCCTGCTTCAGCGAGCGACACCTCAACAGTAGCTCACAAGGGATGGGGGTGAGGAGGGATTAAGAGGGAAGGAATAAAGGTGTAAAAAAGAGAAAGAGGCGTGAAGTGGTAAGCCAGAGAGAGCGACGACAAATCGAAGGGATAGGAGAGGTAGGAAAGATGGAAACACGGTCACAGGAGTCCGAGGACGAGGAATTCTCTCGCAGGATTTCAAGCTGGATGGTCGTGCCCTCGCGATCTCCGACGCCAGCAAAGCTCCCGCCGACTGATTCGCCCTCCGCGGTCTCCTGACGCCCTGCAGCTCTCGCATTGTGGTGCCCCGCCCTTGGACTGCTTCGACCGGATCCCCACTTTCCTATCTCCTTCTAATTTCCGTCGCTTGTCTCTCTATTTCTTCATTTATTTCCTTCTATTCCTTTTATTCTTCTTCCCCCACCCCTATAAGGCACTGCGCCGTGCACCTATAGGCAAACAGAAATTAGGTGCCTTCTTCCTTTTCCTTACGAACCACCAACCAACCAACCACTTGCGACAGCTTGTCGGCGTCAGAAGATGGCGTAGAGCAAGTCCAGTCGGTCAGAGCTACACCGTCGTCGAAGGTCGTCGGCGTCAGGAGATGACGTAGGGCGAGTTCAGTCGGCCAGAGCTACGCTGACGTCGGAGATCGCGAGGGCACAACCGGTCGGCACGGAAACCAGCAAGCGAGTCCCCGAACGCGCAGCACGCAGTCACAGCGAGAGCTATAGAATAGTGGCCTTTCAGAGCCTTTTTTAAACACTCTTTGGGATGCTACAAGGACACTGCTGGGTGCCCACAGCGCCATAAATAATCGTAAATTTTGTGTTGTAGGCCAGCATTCACTCTGCTATCCTTCGTCAGTTTTTGGAGAAGTGTACGTGGTATATCCGCTATACCCACTTGTTCGAAGTTTTGTGCATTTTTTTAATGCAGTGGCTGATGACGATGAAGCAATATGCGTAAAGTAGTCATGTGCCACAGTTAATAGGTGATCAAGAACAAGTTTTCTAATGGGTGTGTGCATTGGACGGCCAAGTCGTTACGCAATTCGCATTGTGTGGCTGTTCCTTTGGTGTTATAGAATGCTTTAGTATTCATAATAACGCGATTCATTTCCCGACATCAAGCCTGCCTAAAACCAGTTTAGAGACGAGTTCCAAGCAGAGGCGCGGCTCAGTGGTAGTATACTAGCTGGGCTGGCACGTAGCGGACCCGGGTCAGAAAACTACTGTGTCATTGGCGTGCTGTTTATTATTATTATTATTATTATTATTATTATTATTATTATTATTATTATTATTATTAGTTCATAGGACTAGCGTGGCTCAGTGGTAGAGTGTTAGTCAGGCAAGCAGGAGACCCGGGTTAGAATCCCATTGTGTCATTGATATTTTTAATTTGCCTGGTTTTTTTTTTCGTTCGATACTGGTTACGAGCGGCGGCGGATTTTGCCAATCCTTCATCTGATAATATGTATTCTGCTCCATTATCTGGTCAATGAAATCCCGAGAAGCCTTAACATATTTCAAAACGCCCCATTGGTACTGCTACGATGCCTCACCCTTATTTTTCAGCTGTTGATTGTAGCTAGTTGGCGAGTAATTCAGTTTTTTTTTTTTTCGCTTGTATCTCTCCTTTGTGGGTGAAGTTTGGGGGTGGCGGGAGTTTGGGGGTGGCGGGATTGCATTTCACTGACTTTTCAGAGGAGCTCGTTTCCTTTTTCTCTTACCTAATTAAAGAGATGCATATCGCAACATCAGAAATTTTGGCATTTGGAGCGTAGTGCTCATGCAAATATAATAAACTCGAAATCCCAGAGTTGCAGTGCCGCTGCTACATTAACTACCTTTGAAAAACGAAGCGCTCGCTTGTATTAGGCACACTCACGTACTGGCTTTTGTAAGTGCGCACAGAAACGATGCAAAAACGGTAGCGCTGATGTTACAAACTTGCGTCTCGTTATTTACCCTGCCTCATCGAAGCAGCCTGCATCAGCACGTTGTACTGACCATGAGTCGTCATTCTTTTTCGGCGCTTCTCGTGTCAGAGCGCACTCTCTACATGTGCCGCGCAATAGGACGTCTTTGGAATCCTAAAACGTACGAATAGTTATTCAAAGTGTCTTTGAGCACCCGGATGCAAAAAAGAATATATGTACTCGCGAACGCAGTTGTAGTCGCAAAAACATGGGAGGAAAAGTGAGCGAGTGAAGCATGCCTACATAAACACCGAAAGCTGTGCCCAGTGTCCGCGTCACACGATTCGCGCAACCAAATGCAAACCCACGAGCCCATCATCGTCGTCTCAAAAAGTGATCACAGACGTGTTCAGAACCGTCTTGTTCAAATAGAGGCACCACACGCGACATTACTAGCACAAAAACAACACGAAAGACACGTCCGCTACAATGCGTACCTGTAAACGTTGCACTCATCCGCTTTCTGCCCTGAGCAATATGGCGGCGCGCCGGCTTCAGTCACGGAGCCCCCTCCGCTACTCTAGTAGTTTCAGTATAACCTTTTGTAGCAGACACGGAGGAAGGAAAAAGGTGTAGCAGATAACGGTGCAGGCGTTCTGTGACTGTGCGTGTCAACGTTGCCGTGTAGGTTTTCTCTGGAAGTGGCAGCCGCAGCTCTGAAGTGGCTCGTTGTGTTCGGGTCCAAACCATTTTAGGGCTCTGGGCTTGCGCGCCCACTTTGAGTGCTCTGCGCAGCTAACGTTCAGTTGTCTAACTGTTAGATAATTCAAGCTGCCAAAATGCCAGACTACTCTCGCATCTCTGTGCTTAAAGAGGTAACTTGTCAACGTGTTACGTGGTGGCTGGCGCGTGCTTTCGCACGCAGGTGACGCAGCACATCACATTCTCGCCCGCTATCTGTTTTCCCAGATTGACAGAAACGAAGCGTTGGTACAAGATTATCTTTATCAGTTGGATCAGATAGAGTCGAAACTGAGGCGTTCTGTGCTCTCGGACTCTGAGAGGTAGGTACGCGTTACACATCTAACTTATGATTGTATTTTATCTTGCTTCGTTCTTCCTCCTTGTTGCTTCATGGTCTCGGACCGAGATTTTGTAGCGATGCCTTGCATTCATGACTGGTGGATACCATTTAAAACGTCTTTGACAATACAAAATCGCTGCTCTGAGTGCGGCAAAACATGCTCATGTAAAACGTCTTTGACAATACAAAATCGCTGCTCTGAGTGCGGCAAAACATGCTCATGTTCCTTTGTTGAGAACCGCCATGTCGAATGCCAACTAGATATTTCGTTTGATCTGTTTTTTCTTTTTTTCTTTTTATTCCCTCTATTATCCACAGGGAGAAGCTGGAAGATGAGGTCAAGTCGCTGAAATCGCAGCTAGACACATTAGGTACGCCTTGGTTAATATCCATTTTACTTATTTAATCGTTAGAGTTTTCATTATTCATGATATTTAGCCTATGTTATTATATTACTGCTGGCGTGTGCGTTACAATTGCATGATCACCGTCAAAGCAAACTTGAATTACTGTGAAATATTTTTAAGACCGACAATGCATTCGTCCTGGCGTGCTCACCAGTTTTTGTCTACCTCCTTCCTGCTTTTATGAGAGACTGATGCAGCTGAATTGACACTTAAAAACAAATTAAACAGCTGTTCATATTTTTTTGTAATTGTGGGCGTGGACTGTTTTTGGGGGAGGTCTGATAAATCCCACGTAACTCTGATGAAGGAATCGTTCTTTGTATTTCTCACACACACAACTTTGTGCCAGTCAGAAGGATTAAGTACTTGTATGTTAATGAATTAATGACACTGCATGGCACCTAGTGAAGTGAGTTTTGCCACAATTAACTTGAAATGATATGATGGGGTTTGCTGCATTTCAATGTTCACCTCCCATAAGGAATCAAGTTTAAAGACATTAGATCATCGGTACGTTTTTTGGCAATTGGTAATAACTGCGATATTTGTAACAGAAGCAGTCAGTATGATCTGTCCTGTTGATGTTTTGATACTTGGTGATGTTGATGTGTTACAAGTATATCTGCATTGTTATCACCAGCCAAATGTTTCTCTCCTACACCAAAACTGCAACTGGCTGCAGTAAAACAGTCTCCAAACAACTAAACGTTGCAACGATTGTCCAACCTAATGCATCTACGTGCAGCAGGCCTTCAGGTTTACAAAGAGTGCGGAATGTTGCCGAATTTTTCCTTATAGTCTGCACTATCATATGTACAGGCTTATTGCTACAAGGTGACCGCAAATTTGCCTGTGTCATGATCTGGATTTGTTGTTTGCTTGTTTGGGGATCCCACAAAAACATAGCCCTAAGACTCGGGCTTGTTTCACAGGTTTGTCTGCTGCGAAGCTGATACTTTTGCAGGGTATTCAATTGAAACCTAACCGAGGCGACGCAAGGTCTTGTCCATTCATTGTTTTTTGGGGAAATGCAATGGGAATAGCTGTCATATCTCTTCAAGATTCATTGTCTGAGAAAGTATGGTAGCTTAGTCCCCATGATCAGTACAGGGGGTGCAAAAAGCTTGAGTGACGCCACTATAAGGTGTATCATGTACGTCTGGCTTTCATAAGCAGCTTTAGCATCATATTGAAATGTGTATTAAGTGCATAAATTGTGCTTTGAGAATGCATATATATACATCTATTCAGTCCATCGCACATCCAGCCGCACAAACTATTCAAAGCAGTATACCCTCTGCCAGCACTAACCGTCGCCCATCTTCGCTCCTATTTCGTGACATCCGCACGGGACTGGAACTGTCTGACTGCATTTATTGCACCACTCTAACCCTCATCAATTCAAGATTGCCCTCAAGTCGCCTTTCTTGTGTAATTAATACCCATCCCTCATGTAATACCCCAGCTGGGGCCTTTGAAGTATTCAAAAAGCCTCTTAAGCATATATATATATTGAAAATGAACATGACAAACGTATTAAACACAGTATTTTTACTAACGCTTCGGTAGAAGCGCATGCCTTGATAATAGTAAATTGTATATATATACTTACTCACAAACCCTGACGGTCCACCGGTCAAAACCGTTGCAAATTAAATTAAGCAACCGCCAAGTTGTGTGTGTGTGTGTGTGTGTGTGTGTATATATATATATATATATATATATATATATATATATATATATATATATATATATATATATATATATATATATATATATATATATATATATATATACACACACACACACACACACACACACACACACACACACACACACACACACACACACACACACACATATATATATATATATATATATATATATATATATATATATATATATATATATATATATACAGAGAGAGAGAGAGAGAGAGAATGGATAGAAACAGGCAAATGCCAACAAATCTTCTATTCTGAACCTTTGTATGTGTGATCTCTTGTTGTGCAAAAAACACGTGCTCCAGTTTCTAGAACTTTAAAAATGTGCTATTGCTCATAGAGAATAGATTTGGCTAATGGCAGGTGATTTGTCCTTGTTACTGCCTTCTTTTCATGCTTCTTGTTTTCGAGCTACAAAGTCATATCTCTGAAATATGTTAGAATGAGAAACCATGATGTTAATCACTTTTATTTTTTGTTTTGTTTTTGTAGAGCAAGAGCTCACTGGCCTGCGGAAAGAAAATCGTAAAAGCATGGCAATAGCTGCTTGCTTGTTCATACTGTTTCTATTGATTTATTATTTTCTAATTATAAAAACAATAACTGGATAATGCATCAAGTGCAACATGCCACTCATTCTAATCGACCAAGTTTTATATCCAATCTCTGTTTCCGAGAATAAAATGATTTATTTTTTACTACTAACCTGTTTCTTGTGCTTGCAGAACTCACACTGAATTCCAGTGTGCTGCTCGTATGCCGTTGCATGAAATAATCAAGTGAATGCTAGAGACATTTGAGCTAGAGAAAGCATAGAGTGTACTAATTGTTGTCTTTGCTTGTAATGTAGTAACTATGAGAAAAATTGATATCAATTTAAGTGCAGGAAGAAATCACCCTTTTGGTCTGTAAAATCCAAAACTCCAACCTACAGATACAAAGGTTGTGTGTTCAGCTCCGCTGTAAAACTCGCAAAGCTGACCAAAACAATTCGAAACATGGTATTTTTGCATAGATTACAGGCTTACCTTTTTGAGAGAAGTGCACGAATAATCTGTCAATCAAGTTCGACAAAACCTGAAAGAATATTAAGTAATACTAATTTCTAAAGGGAAAGACTTGCCTCTTTTTGAAAAAGATGCACCCCAAAACAATTTTATTTAGATTTTTGTGTATGTTCAAGAACACCAGATGATCTAAATTTTAAGGGTACTTTATGATACGATGTCCCTCATAATCATATCTTGCTTTTGGGACATGAAAACCTAACAATTATTACTGTTAAAAAACTCGTTAAAGATACACATTGGCTCCTTTTTGGAGAATCGTGCGTTCCAAGACATTTAGAAGACACTAATACAGAGGATTCACATGTACTTTTAAACAAAGTCACACATGTCGCAAGTCAGAACACATCAGAAAGGCTAATATGACTATTTTGATCCTCAGAGCGTAAGAAGCGTTTTGCAGTTATGCAGTGATGTAAACAGAGGGTGTCTACTTGATGTATTTATCAAATAACCTCCTTTGAATTGGTGATAAATAAATGGCATATCGTTGGTTGTATTTATAGGCTCTATTGTTTACTGTTTACCTGCTTTCATATGTAATGTATGACTAGTTAAAAATATCACACCGTCACGCCACCCTGTATGCCCCTCTGCAGCATGTGTGTTAAGCCCCAGTTGATAGAATGCTTGGCTTCTGAGCATCAACTCGCAGGTTTGAATCTCACCGTTAGCAATGTTTCTTCTTTCCACGTTTATCTGCTTGAGCATGTTCTGAAGGTGGAGCACTCGAGCCCTGATGGATGTCGCCTTTAGTAAATCGCAAGTTCAAGTCATTGGAGCCTTATACATACAGCTCGATACCACAGCCACTTGTTGAATCAAGAAAACAAAAAAGCAGGGCACTTTCCTTTAGTGTCGCAAGGTCAAAAGGAATATGAGAACTGGGTGGCCTTTATTGTTTCTCTTTATTTTCATTTTCCTTCTCCTCTGTGTCTTCATTTTTTATTTCTCCGTTTCCTTCTACTGCTTTCTCTTTCTATTGCCTTCTTCTCTTTCTTTCTATTTCTACTACCATCCAAATGTGCTTGTGGTAGTTTCCCCGAGAGTGCTTAAAAAAAATGCGCCCACCTTCCAAAAGGGAATTGTGAGAAAATGCAAATGCATTTCATTCATTCATTTTTACTAATGAGCCACCCGACAGTTTACCCGATCTTCCATTTTCCGCATATCCGCTGATGCAAAACATCACATTTGATTCATGCGGCATAGTCAAAGTCATTGAATCATTGAATAACTCATCATCCATGGCAGTAGACGGCATCAATGCTAAAGTGCTAAAAAATACTAAACATGTGTGTAGCCCGTTTTTGTCGCTCATATTTCAGGAATCACTCGACAGCGGTTCAGTTCCACATGACTGGCAGGTGGGCAAGGTCATCCCAGTCTTCAAGAAAGGAAGCCGAGCATCACCGAGTAACTACCGTCCGATTTCTATAACAAGCGTCTCTTGTAAAGTAATGGAGCATATCATATACTCACATACTGCTAACTTCTTAACATCTAAATTTCTTTCACCCAAGTCAGCATGGTTTTCGCAAACATTAGTCCTGTGACACTCAACTTGCTCTTTTTCTGCATGATCTACACGTAAACCTAGACCGTAACATTCCGACTGACACAATATTCTTAGACTTCGAAAAGGCATTCGACAAGGTCCCCCATGGTCGTCTTTTATTAAAATTATCCCGTCTTAACATCCACCCCTGTGTTTTAAACTGGATACGAGGATTTTTAACCAACCGTCAGCAATTTGTTTATGCTAACTCACGCTCTTCATCTCTAACACCCGTTCTTTCAGGCGTACCGCAAGGTACCGTACTTGGTCCCCTCCTCTTCTTGATATACATTATTGACCTCCCCTGTAATATTTCTTCTCACATCCGTCTATTCGCAGATGATTGTGTTGTTTACCGCGCAATTAATAACCCCTCTGATCATTCCATACTAACGTGACCTCACCCGCATACAGAACTGGTGTAACACTTGGCTCATGTCCTTGAATGTAACTAAAACTGTGATAATGTCTATTCACCGTCGTCAACATCACGTTGTTTATAACTGCAGCATCAATAACAACCAGATTACTACAGTCGATTCATTTAAATATCTTGGTGTGTACATCTCGCGTGACCTAACTTGGACCTGTCATATTGACCACATAATCAATTCTGCTAATCGTACTTTAGGGTATATACGCCGTAACCTTTCGCTCGCTCCTCCTTCTATTAAAAAAGTTGCCTTCGAAACCTTTGTCCGGCCGAAGCTAGAATATGCTAACGCGATTTTCGACCCTCACCACAATAACCTCACTTACGCCCTCGAATCTGTCCAGAACCGTGCGGCGCGGTTTATACTGTCTAACTATTCATACACATCAAGCATCTCGGCACTAAAAGCAGAGATTAACTTATCCGATCTGGCTAAGCGCCGCAAAATCGCACGTCTTAACCTTTATCATAAATTCTTCCATTCTTTGCCTTTAGATAATCCATACATCAGAAGAGCCCACCGCATTTCCCGCATCAGTCACTGTAACGCAGTATATTTACCACAAGCCCATACTGTGACTTTTCATCAATCGTTTTTCCTGCGCACAGCCCAAGACTGGAATGACCTGCCCACCGAAGTCACCACCATCATCGACACCCAAGCATTTAAACGGCTCATCGAAACTATCCCATCTTAACTACCATTATATTGTTAGCCTTTGTAATACCCACTCCCTCATGTAATATCCCAACCGGGACCTTTGAGGTAATAAAATGAATGAATGAATTTCTTGCGACGAGAGAGGGTGCCGTTGTTGTCAGACAGTTGGCTTCACAGACTTCTGCCATCACCTTGAAAAGCGCCCAGTTAGCAAAACGGTCGAGATTGAGGAGCGAGTGGACGTGAGAGTAGCGCACCAGCGTTCTTGGCTCGGCGTTGGTATTCCACAGCGTTGTCTCGAGCACACATTTCCAGATGTTCGTGAGAGGAGCCTAGCCAGCCAACGGTCGAGAGTGAGGCGCAAGCGGACGGGAGAGTGGGGCGCTGGGAGGAGAGAGAGTGAACTGCGAGAGGAGCGGTGAAGCACTATACCTACTCTCCCTTAGACTCCCTCACACCACACGCTCCAAGTGCTATGGGCAAGGATAAGGGCGCGCACCTACAGCTGTTGCTAAGGGAGAGAGCGTGAGAGCAAAGAGATAACACCTGCTGGCGCGCAGTTGTCATTGCGGACAACGCCGGATGGCTGACATAGCCCGACTAAAAAATGCATTCACATTTAAAAGACCCTGCCGCTCTTCCAGCTTTCGCTGCGACTGTCCTGCAGGTTCTGTGCAGGCCTGGCAGTTTTTTTTCTGTTTTTGATATAGCCAACCTGTTGATGCAAGTGACATTACATTCTTAACCAACCCATAAGGTAAAGATAAGATGTGTGTCTGTGAGAATGGAAATCCACATGACATAAACACCCAAAAACATTTCCACCTTTATTCAGCTCTTTTTTTCCACTCAGTCCCATAACAGTTACAAAGTCCTATATGGAAGCAAACAGGCTTGGCTTGCAAGCCGCCATTGCACACAACAAACAACCACAATGAATGCATATATGTACATATAGACACATTTATAGTCATGTATTTATGTATAATATGTATATAACATTTTATATATATATATATATATGTATATTTCAATATGAATTATCACATGTGAAGTGTCGTTGAATCTTGGACGCGGGACAGTTATGGTCGGGTGCATAAAAGCGCGGCCTAGCATTTGTTTGTTTCTCAAAGACAAAAAAAAAAAGAACAAGGTAGTTGCAGACGTGAAATGCGTGTTTGGCACACACTGGTGTTCGAACACATAGTGCGAGTACCTATTAGGGTAATGTTGAGTTTCGTTTAAAAGGATGATTGGAGCAACTAGCGGCGCACACAAAAAGAGCATTTGAAGGGACAACAGCATTGCACATGAACCTCAATGTAATGAAGTCCACCTGGCTCAAAACTGCCTAATCATATCAGAAAATTTGTTAATATGATAATCCTAATGATATTTTAATGGACATGACTGCATTATTATGCTTCATTATAACCAACAATATGTTATAACCGATACTTCATTACATTGAGGTTGGAATGCTATCTCTTTTACTGTACACACATTGAAGCAGGCAGACATAAGCGTACCTGGTCACCAGAGCTACATGCTTCCTTGAGCAAACAACAAACATCTGTACCGACCTTTTGTCACCAGCCATGCAGTTGGGCTGTTGAGAGTTTTTTACGATTCTTAAACGATACTCGCAACACTCGATAAGTGCTTTAAGGTGTGCACCGAAAATATTAGTATTACTAAAACCAAGGTGCACTTTCCTTCAGCGGAAGCTCGCATTTTTTTTTTTTTCAGTACTAATCTTTGTCATAAAGGTAATAGAGATATGGCGCGTCCAGAGCAAAAAGATTGTTGAGATATTCTAGAGGTGAAAGCATTTGCCCTAGCCACTGCATGAATGCATCGTGGACATCACTATCACAATGTTACAGAATGATATGCTGGTTTCACAGCAAATGGCACGTGGGATAAATACATAACAAAGAGTGCTGCTGGCTAACACTGATGAAGCTCAAAGGTAGCTTTGGTAAGAAAAGTTTGAATGTGGGGAACACGACGGTTTTATTCAGCGGAGCGGCTGAGTAAGCTATCACAACGAGTGTAGCTGAATCGAACGTAGTGTCCTATTAAATTATTTTAAAACAGTTTTTAAGCATTTGCAGATATCCCTGTCCCACAATCATTCTGTTTGGGACAAACAGTGGCAATCTATTTTAAAAAGTGACCTTCAGTCACCGAGGGACACAGCGGAAACACGGCAGTCTTTAACTGATGAAAAAAAAGTGTCTTCATTTGGCTTCACTCTTGCATAAAAATTTAACAGTGAGACATCACGCTTAGGCTTTTTGATGCAGCAACCTACATTAAATAGTGCTGCTACATTCGTAAAATTGTGACTGACACTCGAGAGTTGTCCAATGCGGCAGCCACACTGCAAATGGTGAGTGAAAAAAGGAGAGTTGCACGAATACCATTTGGAGCCTAAAGCATGGAGAAATTGGAGCTGTAGCTGTGGTACAAAACACTTCAAAGGTAAAGATCACGATTGAAGGCCCTTGATTGATTTAAAATCAGCTTGTCAATTAAGATTCTCTTACACGGCTCCTACCTTATAAATTCCACATCCTTTCCAAAGTCTTCAAATCAGGTGTTATAACTTGCGGACTGACATTTCTTGAACTGATTAACAGATCAAGACAGCTTTACCACACAAGACATGACAAGAAGAAGCACGACGAACAATGTCGGTGTGCTTTTCGTCTTGACCCGCATTGTAGCACTGTTTTCGTCTGATCATGAAACAGTGAGCTGAACATAAATCCTTGCTAATATGAGAACCACCAGTTTGGTTTGAAGTTCAATTGTGACATATAAGTGCTTTACACAAATAATAGTGTTCATTCTTGAAACATTTCGGCGTGCACACCGTAGACGGAAAGGCGAAAGGCGAGAAGACGAACAGGCTCCTGTTTGTCTGTTTTTCTTCTCGCCTTTCGTATTTCCGTTCACTGTGTGCTCGCCAAAAGGTTTCCAAGAATGTCCTCAAACTAACACGCCCAACTTTCCATACTATTATAGGAGTGTTCATATTAGGGCTTACAAGCTATGTACATAAGAAGGATTCTTGATGTGCATGAGTGTTTTGTATTTTAGGTAATACAGCTATGTCAATATTTTTTGCTAGTGTTCCAACCATAATGTATGTGGGTGAGCATCGCAAGTAATTGATAACGAAGACTGTCCAAGTGGATGATAAGCCATGTCGATCACTTGAATTCACTTCAGTTTTTGGTACTGTGACATTCCTACATTGAGGTTCTCACCAAATAGAATAAACAACGGGCTGGGCAAACGTACAGTATGCATCAATACTGGGAGCAACCATGTCAGGTTTACTCAAACTCTGGTGAACCAAAGTTTAAGTATAATTTAGAGCTTGCTTTCCTGTTGTTAATACAATAGCTTTGTGAAAAAAATGCTATTTTCTTAGGTTCTTTGCAACGTTTCAGAATGTGTTCGTATCGCTCCATTCTGAATCTTTGCCATAACGTGTAGCTCAATGCAAAACTGCTCAGTGCCCTGGTCTGCTAAAAATGTACATTGATGCAGTTCGGTGAAACAGAGTAACACCAACAAGGTAGCAAGTTATACGATACAGCAGATGGTTTGGAGAATAGGCAACCGTCAGATGAACTTAGTGCACCAACATCAAGAAAACAAAAAACAGTTACACACGACACACAACCATTCAAACATGGGGTGATGGCAGATCTGTTTGCAGTGGCGACAGACCAAGCACAAGGAGGGAGAGAAGATTGCTCCAACTCACACTGCGCAAACAATCACAGGCTGTATATCCTGAGCTACAAACACGTTCCACGTACACGGCACAAGCGATACCTCACTCATATAGCAGAAGTATAATCTACAAGAAAAGAATTGGCGTCTCCTTGTGTTTTGACGTGAACATGTCCAGTGCTGTGGTCGATCTGACTAAAATGCTTACGAGCTGTACTAAACAAGCAATGTTTGTGACTTATTTGAGGCAGCTCGAGTAAGCGGCACTCAAAACATATCTGCTTAAGAGGAATTCACATTTAACTACTGCTGTGTCACAGGATGCACTGAAGAAAACCGACAATACATGTAGCCGTAAGTTTTGCTGTGATTTTTCTTCGCTTTAGCCAGGCCTTACTGCCGAGAAATTCTCTCACGTGATTCCTGTTGGTGAGTGTTTATGCCTGGCAAGGTAACAGGAAAGCTGCTACATAATGTGCAGGGGAAGCACGAGTAAACGAAAAATCTGCTTCACCTTAAAATTGAAGGGCAAGCACGCAGCATTTATTTAACGCCAGCTCTGACAACAGAACCGCAGCAGGCATCGAGTATGTGCATTGGTAAAATCTCAGAGCCCCGCCTTTGTCATGTCCTAAATCTCTTGGTAGTTTTAAGGCATTTATATCATAGGCAACAGTTCCTCGGTTAGCTCTGAAAGTTTCCGGGCAAAGCTTTACTGCATTGTGAACCCTGCAAAACCATTTTAAATCCACATTAACCGGCAAATAGTACATCAAGCTTAACAGGTATACAACTGTCGTCGGTCTTAATGTTTATTTGGGTTTATTAAACGATAAAATATTGAATTCTTCATCAAGGTGACTTTCATATAAAACTGACTTGGCCTTTTCCCACTTTTGACAACTTACCCACAGTGCCTGCGTCATCAAGCACGAAATCACAGATTTCACAGCTTACATAGTGAGTGTGAGAGCTTTTTCTGTAAATCCAGACATAAATTGCAAAGTTCAGTTTACATTTGCTTTAACTTGCAGCATCACAACTTCATTCCTCAAACCAGCAATTAGTCATAGCGTTATTATGACAACGATATGCTCCATTGCACAGCATGTTTTCTGAAGTGCTATTGTGCTTTAGAAAATGCAGTAGTGCGGTGTTGCCAAACATTCTCTGCTTGGGCTTCATTTCCAGGCAAACCAACTAGCTGCTCTTAGAAGGCATTCCATGTTTGCAGCTTCAAATGTGTGAACCATCAATGTCCTAGTCTTCCTTAACTGTCCCTTAACACAGTTGTTGCTGAATACATTTTAAGCATTCCACTCACAGCATTTATTTTGTGCATATCTATTTCATTGCTATAAATCAGATTTATCTCATAGAAAACCGTCCTCAACTTGGCAAGTCCTTTCATGCAGCGAGACTGACACCATGACGATCACACGCCTGTCCTCTTTATTCTTCCCTCCGTGTAAAACTGGAAAAAAAAAAGGAACAAAACAAAAAGTGTGTTTAAATGCCTGCGTGTGCTGTTGGGGCTTCGCTTGTTTGCAGGACCAATCTCCACTCATATGCAATTTTCAAAAAATCACACGTATACGGAAAACACAAAATAAAAATGCTACGGAGTTCAGGCTCTTCTTTAAATAAGTAATTTTGTTAATGCAGCCAGTTTAATCTCAATGATGAGATTCCAGGTAATACTTTAGGAATAATACATTATCAGAGTGCAGCTCTTAGGCAATCATTCTTGCGTTGAGTGGCGTCAGTGTGACCGATAGAACAAACGAGGACAAATTAGAGTGAACGTCGAGTGCAGCAGAATATGAAAGACGGCACGTGCCAGGAGGAGGGAATGACAGTGATGCAGTGGGGGGGGGGGTAGGGGCGATCTTTGCTTCCCTCTTATGTCTCTATCTGTACCCTCTCTCACTTGAGTGCTTGTAGCCAACCTCCTATTGCTAATTAGGACGAATGAGTGAAACCACCTCGAGCACACATCAACAGTATTTATGCTACGAAGGGATTTTTCTGCTACTAAAAACAAAACGTGGTGACCACGTCCCCCTCTCTGGTGTTGCTTTAGATGACCGACCCCTTCCCCCTCTCCCTAAAATGAGTGGCTGGACTCGCCTCCTGCAGTGATGAGATCAGGTTCTGCAGCAGCCACCTACGGCGCCACTGTAGTGCGCATCATTGTGCGTCAGCTCTTGTCGATTGAACGTGCCTGCGCACTGCCTTTCGTGGTCTCCTGCTTAGCGAGCAATTGCACTATGCTCTGTCAAGGCTGTTGATGTGAAATGGGATGCACAAAGTTGTCTGTCTCTCTCACTTTACTCGTGGCATTCCCTTCTTAATGTAAGCCATGATGTTAAGGCAAAGAGCACCACCAAATGTAACATGGGCGCAGAGCTGGGGTATTGATGCCAATATAGCTGCTGCCCAAGCGGCGACAAGAGACATCATCTTCTTCTCATCCGAGCGAGCTTTCTCGTGCTCTTTCGCCGCAACATTATCATCACCATCAGCCCACTACAGGACAAAGGACTCTCCCATGTTTTGCCGGTCGACTCGGTCCTGTGCTTGTTGCTGCTGCCACTTTATACCCGCAAACTTCCTAATCTCAATCGGCCCACCTAACTCGTTCTGTCTCCTCTTCACCCACTTATCTTCTCTTTGAATCCAGTTTGTGATCCTTAATAACCAGCAGTTATCTTGCCGTTGCGCTACATGCTCTGCCCATGCCCATGCAGGGGCAGATCCAGCCACGCACTTATCGTAAAATCAAAACACCTAACAGCTGTACTCAGAATTTGCATTAGGCAGTTATCATAATCATCAGGTTTCTGACAGCAATCTTTCTGTTAGAAGCAATGTCTTTTGAAAGAATTAAATGTGATGTTCTTTGACCTTCTGCAAGCTCTGCAATAGTAATTTCATTTGATTATTACATTAAGACCTGCTTAACTCAAGCAATTCTTTACTATGTCGACGTGCATTGTTTCAACAATGGAGAAATGACATTAATGTATCCCCAATTGATTTGATATATAAATTTTTGGTCATAGCGGCTGTAGGATCCTTATGAAAACTAAGACATTATTGGCAGCTTGAGCTGCCTAGTAAGTGTACATACCATATCGTGGTGCGGCCTACCTCAAACTGTGGGAAATGGTGTTCTAATCAAGAGTTGAATATCTCTACCATTGGCTGCCAAACTTAAACAAGGTAAAACACTAGCATTACGGCCAAAAGGTCCTACTTGGTGCTGCTATGCTTGCTGTGATCAAGGTCGCATTGATAGAAGTCTTTTTGGACAAATGGCCAATTTTATTTTTGCCGTATTTGCGTAAAGATTGTGTAATTGGTGGAGTACATTACTTGCTATAGTGCTTATATGCGTAGTGAATGCATCACCTCAGATAATGTCTCTTGACGAGTGAACTGAGTGGCAAGAGCAGTGCTAAACTGATTGTACTATAAGGATAAAAATACCAGCAACAATGAGAATGAGTAGTTGTTCTAGCTTCGTGGCAAAAGATGGGATCGCCATCTTTCCACTTATAAAATTTTAGGATCTAGTTTTGCAGAGCCGCTGAAGATGCACAGTTCCAAGTAATCCTGGACAATAATAAGCATTTAATGCATTTGAACATACTAGCTGTTCAATGAATCTATTAAAAAATTCATATACAAATGATCAGTTCAACTGAAAATAAATGAGTTCAATTATGTGACCTGAGTTATGTACATCTGAGTGTCCTACCAAAGCAATGTTTGTTACTGCTTGTCAAAGGATCAACAAACATGCTGAAGCACTTCGGTTGTTGCAGAAAAACTCGTAACACCCTTAATAAAGAGCTTCAAATTCACATTGCAAAAATGTGCTAGCTAAACCACAATGGAGATGGCAATATTGTTTGTGATGTTCATCAGACATCTTTTTCCAAGAGCATCTACACGGGCTCAACATTGGCAACAGTTGTTAAAGAAACCTAATCCACATTGCAACCAAGAGTTGAAGCCCTCTGTTTACATAGACTTGTCAGACCTTGCCAGAAGGGCCGAAATTTTCAGGCAGACCATTTTAGCTTCGAAATCATACAATGCTTCATGGTAGCACTGACAACTAGTATCGTGCTAACAGTAGTGCATACCTTAGTGCCCTCAAAGTTACAAGTCTTTGCAGTTTGACACTTACTCAACTTTTCGTCAAAATGAGATAGACTAGCAAGTTTGCGAAAGCTTTGTTCTCAAGGCATCATTGGAACACAAAGGTAATGGGAAAGCTCAACATGACACAGCACCTGCTGACCCTTTTATGCTTGCACCACGCAATGTCCCTCATCTATCTCACACTGTCTCATCTCGAAGTTTGGGCAGTGATATAAATCAACAGCATTAGTGCATTGTGTACCTTAAATATTTATGTCGAATATTATACTTGAATAGCTAAAGTTTTTGGGACTATGTTTCCTTTTGAAATCCTGGCTCTAGACATTTCGTCAAGCATTAAAAAGTACCGCACCGGCAGAAGTGTTGCAGATGCATTGTGTTGCTTAAACAGTGATTCATCCGTCAATGCTGTGCTGAGGCAGCACTAGGACTGCACCTGAATCTTCCTCAGCATTTAGCATGTAGATGCACAGAAATGCATGTAGATTTTTTGAGATATGCGCTCCTCTTCCTCACACCACAGATGCAGCTGTGGCTATGCCTGTAGTTTTCTCGTTTGTTTCTGCACGTGCCTATGAACTGCCCCTTGTTCCTATGAACATGTGGCCAGTCACGGCAGGTCCTCTGGTGAGGAGGAGGATGGTGGTGGCCGAGCCTTGATGTGGCGCACCTGTGGTGGTGGAGCCTCGTCGATCTGCTGCGTGTACTTGGGTCCGAGGCCATGGTGCAGCCGCACTTTCTCGGGGTCATTGGTCATCTCATCGCTCTTGAGCAGGAAGAAGACGCCCACGTTCAGCTGCGGAATGTCGTAGAGCACGTTGAGCAGGAGCATCATGGCTGTCAGGCCCACCAGCAGGTATCCTGCGAAGAGGACAGATGAGAGATATTGACACTGCGGTCGTGACTGTGAAGAAGGCAGGAAGTCAGTGTGCAAAACTGAACTCATCATTGGGTGAGCTTGAGTCGAAAGAATGAAAAGCAATGCACGCTGTACACAGATGGCGGCAATAAAAGTCGTCGGCTGTCAGTACTGTGATTTGGAGCGACATGCACCGACTCTTAGACATGCATCACAATTCATTACAGCATTATCACTGATTCTCGCAAAACATTTGAAACGTGCTCAAACTATGCATCAAGCATGAAATGTTTGTCAAAGAGTTGGCGTCATTCGAAAATAATCATGCAAGCTAAAGCATCACCCATGCTGAGTAATAAAGTGCTTCGCAAGAAAGTGAGAAAGGCTGTCCCCGTGAATTGAAGCAAGCAAGTAAGCGCATAAATATATTCTGTCATTGTAACAGTGGCTAGAAGTCATCACAGGTGACATGCATAAGAAGGAAAGGCTTCAGGGCTATACAGAACATTAACTTCTTACTCTTTACCACCGTGATAGAGCGTGGCACTCTAGATTGAATAATTGACCAAATGAAGACATTATTGATAGTTACAAATGAACTGTCACGTAGGGTTCGAGGGGAAAGGGGGCTGAGCTAACCACACTTCAATGCATTGCACTACGTTCAAATTTTTTATACTTGCATTGGAAAAAAACAAATTATGCTGTCCTTTGGAAGCTGGCCTAACTTTAGCTGTTATGCCATGGCCCATCGCCAACAATGTTCAACCTGTTCAATGTTCAAAGTCTATACTTTTGTTTGACCCCACCAATGTTAATGTTGTAAAGTATGGGGCCTAAGGCAAAACTTAGAAAACACTTATATTGCAGATGGGAAAGTCTGCTCTCAGAATAATAATTCTCCTCTGTTAATTATCTTAGTAGCATTCTGCTTAAGGACCTTGTTATTCCTTTTTAGTTAGTTATTTGTTTAGTTTACAATATACAATACAGAAAGTTTCTATATCCAACACTGCAATTATTTTCCCATCTGTTAGAACGAGTCAGTGAGTAACTTCAACTTAAATTTGCATTATTGTAACAATGTCTACAGTAAATGATAATTAGAATTCTCTGATGCTATGACGTAGAACACTCTGTACAAGAAAAGAAAACCAAAAAGAAACTCTGAGCTTGCTATCAAACGCTTTTTTCTTCCCGAGTCAAATGTAATACCTGTTCGTTCATTTAGCTTTGTGCCAGAAAGAGTGTGTACATGCACGGTCATAGGAATCGTGAGAATTGTTGCTTATAGTCATTTTAAAGCCGCAATAAGTGCATTTGCTCGGAGCATACGCAAGGTTGAGGCAATTACATGTGAACCAAACACGAAATAGCACAATAAGGAGAGTTTGCCACCAACCATTCCGGCCAGCACTCACCTACTACAGCCACTTTGTAAAGAGGCCTGTAAGGCTGCTCGTAGCTGTCTCCGGGTGTGAAATCACCGAGGCCAATGGTTGTGAGGGATATGAAACAGTAGTAGAGCGAGTCCACGTAGTCCCATTCTGGCTCCAGAGATGAGAAGATGGCCGCAGGCACCAGGAAGAAAAAGACCACCACCAACAGCTATAAGAGAGGAAACCAGCGCATTGCCACACGAATGCAGTTCAAATGCAGATATAATAATTGGATGCAATTAAGGAAACATTCTTCCTGCTGATTGACATGCTACAAAAGTATATCTGACTGTAGTGTACACTAAATACAGTTAAGTCAATGTATCAGAGGCAGGGGCAGCTTCAAGATTTTTTTTTTACGGTGGGACGGGGGGAGGGGGGGCATGACAAGTGAGTTTCTTCTGGGAGGCAGGGAACACATTAGAATCAATCAGAATCAGTTTTACTGTAATTAGTACATAGTGATGATATGCAGTGCACTTTGTCTGTAGCTTTTGAGGTGGCAAAGAGGGGGCAGGCGAAAATTCTGAGAGTACTCCAGCCCCTCCCACATCCAGTGCCGGTGCAGCCCCTATTCAAAGGTGGTAGAATCATCAATTTACTACTTCATTGCATCTAAACTTCGTTACATTGAAATTTGCCTTTTACAGCAGAGCTGTGGGACGAGTGGTCTCTAATGCGTGTTTGCCACCTGTATGTCTTCCTAACTTTTAGTAGGTCAGTGTGATGACTAGTTGGATTTGCCCAATTTTGTGGCAGATTTCTACAGGAGAGGGCAAGCCCATCCAGTTATAACTGATTTGATTGATATGTGGAGTTTAACCTCGCAATACCACCATATAATTATGAGAGATGCCGTGGTGGAGGGCTCCTGAAATTTCGACCACCTGAGCACACGGGCCTACAACACTCTTGCCTCCATCTAAAATGCAGCTGCGGCAGCCGGGATTCAATCCCGCGACCTGCGGGTCGGCAGCCGAACACCTTAGCCACCAGACCACTGCGGCGGGCACTCCCTAGCCGGGGGGGGGGGGGGGGGGGGGTTGCCCTTGCTACTATCAAGGGGTGGGAAAGAGACAGGTGGTAGCTATGGTTAGAGCCTAGACAAGCCAGGACCAACTAGACACAGTATAGTAAGCTTGAACAATTATGATCGTCAACCAGCTATCCCACCAACATTCTTTGAGGCGGACCCTTCGCGTCAGCCAATATATCGCGAAGGTAACGACAGAGCCATTTCGTTGGGCTTACCCCCATCGACTCCACGGCAACTAATGCTCCTTACTTAATTGACATGCGATGATAACATTTACATGAAATCGGGAGATGACGCACTGCACACGCTGGACAGAATACAGTACTATGGCAGGTAATAAATAGTAGAGTAGTGCGCGTGCCACTGTTATCGTGCCGCTGTAGTGTACTAGACTATGTATTCACATGATTGTAAGTAAAGTTGAATTTAGGTCGACTCCACTAAGATTGTATGGTTAAGAAAGAACACAGAACGCATTTTATAAATAAAAATTTATTTACGATGTTGTTGGAAAAAAAAATAAACTCGAATTTCAATGTGTAAAGGTGCCTTCACGGCAGTGCTTACAAAGCAATGCGGCAAAACTACTTCGGGGGCAACACGCGCGGATCATTCTTGGAAAGAAAAATTTCGCACATCGTTCCTGAAGGCGGAGCCTGTACAAAACAAAATGCGGTGTATGCTACAAGAAGAGCCTGAACGCAGACATATTGTCGTAACCACGCCACCGCGTGCCCGATTTCTCGTCTGTCGCTAAGATCCGATAGCGAGTCGACCTCCCATGCGGAGCAATGCGCACGTTGTGTATTGTATATTTTTATTTATTTATTTAAATACCTTAAGAGCCCAGAGGGCATTACATAAGGGGGGATACATACAAGAGGTTACTATAGCATCAGTAAAACAACATGTCAGGGAGTAATACTAGTAATCAAACTGACCGATAGCCCAAACAACATTACTAATAACACAATAAGCAAAAAACACAGTAAGCAGCTCACCATAACAGGAAACATATTTCAAGAAATAGCAATAAACATTCTCTAAGCATGCGTTACACATTAAATGTCAATGGTGGTTACAAATTATTGTCAACTTCTAAGTAAGTTAGTACTGCAGACTGGAAAAGGGAGGGTTCTGTAATAGCGACGATGTTTGAGGGCAGCGCGTTCCACTCGTTAATGGATAACAGCAGAGGTGAAAATTGGTATTTCTTAGTGCGTGAATATATCGGATTGACCTTATGTGCATGACCAACGCGATCAGAAACGTAGGGAGCCGGGTGAATGAATGATCGGGAAAATGACGAGTCACTAAGATATAATCTATGGAAAAAACATAGGCGGGACAACTTTCTGCGCGTGGCAAGCAATGGAAGGTTCAGAGAACGCTTAAGACATGTTACGCTTTGGTGGCGAGAATGGCAGGAGGTGATAAACCGAGCTGCTTTATTTTGTACTGATTCTAGCATATCAGATAACATTGCCGTGTGTGGATGCCAGATGGTTGACGCATACTCTAGTGAAGGCCTGATCAGAGCTTGATATGCGTGAAGTTTAGTTACACTAGCGTGAAGCTATATATTACACTGTAATGTGACGAATCAGCCGCACGCTTTTCTCCGTGCCGTTCCGCAGGCGACGAACTTGAACGCCGAGTGATGCCTTTGCCCGCGAAGGCGCTTCTGGAAAACGCGCTGCTCCGCTTTGGTGGCCGCTCTCCTTTGCGCGGCGAGAAAAAAAAAAAATGCGTACGCAAAAAAACGAGTCGACGCTGTCCACGGTCACCAGAAGTAGTTTCAATTTATTACCTCGGACTCCCCAGCGGTGGCAGTGAAACTTAGTTAAACCGAAATTGTGGATAGACTCGCTTCGTTACATTGAGGTTGAAAGTACGCGGTGTTATGAAATAAAAACAAAAAAAAAAAGATACGAATGCTTCGTGCTTCGTTATATCCAGAAGTTCATTATATGAGAGAATATATATATATATATATATATATATATATATATATATATATATATATATATATATATATATATATATATATAACTGAACAGCACGTGATAAGAACCGTATGTGGACGTACACAGACAGTTGGTTTCGTTCTCAGTGTTGACAGTGGTTCTTCCTCTTTTTTACTTTCTTTCTTTTCATCTTTTTCTTTTTCGTCTTTTTTCTCCCCCCTTTTTGTTTTTTTTTTTCTTTTTTAGTTTCCTCTCACTCTCGCAAACATGTTTCATGGCGAGAGGGACGCGGCAGCAACGAAGTTTGGAAGTTCATGTCAGTATTACTCATCCCCTGATGAAGGGAGGACCCCTCCCGAAACTGTTGGGAAAAAATATATTTATCCTTGTTCACAACGCTCCCGTTGTGCCATATCCCATATTATATATATATATATATATATATATATATATATATATATATATATATATATATATATATATATATATTTAGCGGTATAGGGCTTATGTTAGATGCGACTTCGTTGTGATGAAATTGGGACCACCTGGAGTTCTTTGACAGGCAATTACATCACGGGTCTCAAGTGATTTCGCCTCCATCGAAATTGTGGTTCGCCGCGCCAAGGATTCGACCCCGTGACCTTCGGGTCAGTAGTCGCACACCATGACCACCGTGGCGGTTGGCCGGCTACGCCAATGGTTTTCAGGTGTGATCGCTACCACCCGATAAATATGCAATTTGAACGGGTCGCTGAGTTCGGTTTATAAAGAAATGTATATGTGGCATGACTCACCGTGCAATCATTAACTAGGCAATCATTTATGTTTTAATAACAATCATAATTACGGTAAAATACACTATATCATATTCAAAGAAAAGCGGCGCACAAAAAAGACGGAGACAAAGAAGAGAACCACACACAGCGCTGCGGTTCTCTTCTTTGTCTCCGTCTTTTTTGTGCGCCGCTTTTCTTTGAATATGAATACACACCAACTCGCCCAACTTTCTATTCTGTTACACTATATCATTTGCGATCGCCTCGAGTTTGGTCTCCAGAACTCCGTCATCAAATTATGTCAGTTTCACGCATTTATATTAAGAATATCACACCACGCTTGTCGCTACTAAAGTGTAAAGTGCATGCGGTGAGCAGAGAAGCGTTCGTACACCGACAATGAAGAGGTGGAGGACGCGGATGTTGAATGCCTGGTAGAGGTGGCCGAGGCGCGAGTTGAGGAACTGCAGTATGTAGGTGACGGGGATCAGGAGTCGCTCGACGAACGCCGACAGCAGGATCAGGGTCAGCGGGATGCCGATCAGCCCGTACACGATGCAGAAGATCTTGCCACCCGTCGACAGCGGGGTGATGTTGCCGTAGCCTGCGCCATGTAAACGTACTCTGGTTTATTCATACACTCTGCAGCCCGTGAGGGCTATGGCAGGAGTGGGTGTACAGTGAGCGTGATATTGTGGTGAACTCTAAGTGTGCCACGGCACACCAGGTGGCGCTGCCAGCACGTCGCGGATAAAGCCTCTGAATATTTTAGTTGGAGATAAGGTCCCTAAAGAAAACTAAGGTAGCGCCAACTGCGCCCCTTCGCTTTTGCTTACTCTTTGGATGGATGGGTGCCACCAGGCTCGCAAGAAAAAAAACAAAAATCGCAAAGATATTTTTCTCTTATGTTGGCCCATTGCCTTATCTACTTCGATTAAATTGATCTTGTTATGAAAGCAGCTGCATCAGCACCCCTACAGCGTCTAGCAAGAACTTACGGACACAGACACACCCTCTCCTGGCGAACAGGGGAGGGTAATCTGGTGCAGCGCAAAGCCCCTAGAAATTTTAGGGTCTTTAGTGCAGTGCCTCCTCCTCACCGTTGTCGTCGTACAGACAAAATGGCGCTAGCGCTATAACAAGCTACAGTATACTAGAAGCTAGTACACTGTAAACAAGCCTACCAATCACGAAGGAGAGGAAGAGCCTGCACGGCGATAAGCATGACGCTACTTTAGTCGCCGACCGACATTCCTCTTCCTCTATCTCCGCGCCTCTGTTGGCGGTGCACAGGGTGCATCTCCCCCAAATGAAGATGCACTCAGCGCTGGCAGCTTCTCTTTCACTGCCTTGACATGACTGGCAAGGGTTGTCAATATAGTGTCAGTAGTCAGTATGATGCGTAACGTGCGAAATTCACTGGCAAACCTGAAGTCTGTGACCATAGTACGCTCATTAATCTATGCTCGTGCTGTGGCATGCGTAGAAAAGCACTGTCCACAATTCCAAAAAAGTGCGCTCCCCCCCCCTCTTCCACCCCCTCTAGACGCCCATGTCATGGTACCAATTCGCAGTTAGTTGGCTTGTAACTGGAGCCATTCGCTTTCATTGGTGGGACCAGTAAGATCCCAAGTGGGCCCAATTACTTTCAGTACAACAGCTTATGGTACCTGCTGGTAGCTGACTTTTAACTGGAGCCGTTCGCTTGCATTACTGGGACCAGATTGTTTTCAGCTGGAACCAGTTGGCCCAAGTGAACGCTGAAACTATTGTTTACACTATATTTAGATTCTCGGTTAGAAATTTTCACTTTGGCAACGGCGTTCAGGTAACTGGTACGCTCGGAGTGTACATACACGACGGGAGCCTAGGGAAATCAACTTCGGGTAATACTTTTGGAGGGCCACTACTTTATCTGACGCGTTATTTTCGCTTGGTACTCACGCAAATGGCTATGCTCACTTAAAAGTGTGGCAGCTTGGGCTAGTTGGTATGGCATGACGATAGTTATAGCGCGAGAACAAAACGAGGACACAGAGACAAGACATGTACATCGGGTCCTTCTTGTCTCTGTGTCGTCGTTTTGTTCTCGCGCTATAACTATCGTCATCGCTATGCTCACGTTTGCGTGGCATGAGGCGCGAAAGGTAGGTGCGGTCGTCGCTTACCGATGGTGGTTATGATGGTGCTCGAGAAGAAGAATGAGTGTCCAAAACTCCAGTTCGGGTCCGAAGTAACGTTCTTGACTGGCGACACCCGGTTCTCGTGGGCGCGAACGATCTCAACGATGAAGCTCTCCAAAGCCTCATCTGCGTACAGAGAGAGCTCGACATTATGCACCGTCCATGGATTACACTTGTGGGTAGTCAAGAAAACTCATTATGAGTTAATTAACCAGTGATAAACTTACGACTCAAATAAAAATTTGTCTTCACCAACTTCTCCGTCTTTGTCTCTCGTACATGCGTTCGTATGTACAAGATTCACGTCATGCAGTTGTGCACTTCCCACACTGACACCTGATCTTGATTGAATATTGTTTGTACGCGAAATAAAAGAAATCACAAAACTTTCAACATAACCTTCGTAACGAAGCACTCGTTTGCCACGCCGTCGTTTGAGCCATGCCCGGCCGTACACAACCAAATAGTATCACACACTACAAAAAGATTGAAAGTTGGGCGAGTGGGACGCTTGCATTATGAAAGGAAAAAAACACACAAAAAAATTGGAAAAGCGGAAGGAACTTAGAACGCAAAAAGAGCGTTGACTCACATGTGAATTTGTAAGAACAAACTTATCAAATATGAACTGGGAACAAGCAAAAGATAATATAGCGAACACATGTAGCAAAGGAATGGCTAGCGAAGAGTACTCTCAGGATACGCCATTTCCTGTTTTAGAGTCATTGCTTGGTTTATGTTGTTTTTTACGTTGCTTTATTTCATTATATTTAGCACTAGTTAATATCATCGGAGAACAGACAAATACAATGAGTATGACTTCTGTTCCTCAGTGATTTTGTATTATTTCGTGGCACCGTATCGTAAGCAGTTAAAATACGTCCTATAGTATAGGGAAGTGCTGCTGCTGGGCAACGTTCTATTGCCGAAGAATGATCCTGCGCAAAACATCCACTACATGGAGGACGTTTGAGCTCCTAGGCTCAAACGTTGTGCATGACATCGCTGTTCTCGTTCGTTGCACCGCTTTGCTCTAACATCCTCAGCGGTCGCCATAATGCAGTCGAGTTTCGTTCGTGTTTGATACCCCAGCAGAAGCTCCGCTGGATACTTGCCCTCCTTCACTGGCGTGCGGCGGCAACGGAGTAGAGGTCTTGATATTCGAGTTTGCAGCGGAATTTCTTCGTTTTTCCGCATGCCTTCCTTTAACGTTCCTAAGGCTCGCTCCATTGAACCATTTGGTGGGAATGATAAGGCGCTGACGTCAAGTGTTTTACTTTGTTCTTAGCGTGCGCCCATAAGCGTGCGCATCCTTACCCTTCGGGGGGGGGGGGGGGGAAGGCAAGATCGTCTTAGCGACCTCCCTCGGTATTATGTCAATGTATAGGGCTGACTTTGCCCCCCCCCCCCCCCCCCGTCTTACTTCACTAGGTGGGGCGGCCGCCACGTCACAGGTCTGCGTGGTCAGGTGGCCAGCTGCATTAACCTTGCCGCCGGAACTGTTGCTGTCTAGCTCGGTGCCTTTAAGGTGCGTTTACACTAGAACGACATGACACTGACACGATGACACGAGGCAGACGTCCCGCCGGCAAAGTCGTCTGACCGCCTGGCCATACTAGGCCGACGAAGACGCCTTAAAAGGCAGCATGTCGTCGTAATGTAACATAATGACTGACCAAAAACACCAGCAAAACGCATTCACAGACGTTTCGTCGGGAGATCTGCGGCTGACCGAAAATTCGCCCATGGCTTTGCTTCAAACGACCACGAAGGGGGAAACCTTGAGCGAGATAACAATGGCCCGTCCGAGGATTCTACGACGTTTGAATAGACATCTTGCACACCCCACGGAAATCTTTCCTTCACTTCCCTTTTGTGTCTCCCCACCCCCGATCATCGACGCCATGGATTGTGGCGGGGGCTGCGCCGCGTAGCCGAAGAGAGACAATGGCAGAGCAGGGAGCACGGCTGAAAATGGTGCGCAGGTGTGCACGTTTAGTCGGTATATCCCTTGTGCCTCCAGTGTGACTATAGAATTGGCCAACGGAAGGCTGTAAGCACGACAAGGCGCAAACGGAGTCTTCCAGAGACCATTGGCGGACTGTTTGTGTCGTTGCAATGTAAATAAGACGACGACAAGACTAAGTATGTTCCCAAAGACAGTCAGCAGACCAAAATTGGTGTCGTCTCTCTCTAGTGTAAACGCGCCCTAATTGGCCAATGAAAGACTGAGCACGACAAGGCGCAGACGGAGTCTACCAAAGACTATCGGTGGACTGATTGTGTCGTTGCAGTCTACATAGGACGACGACCGGACAAAAGACACCCCCCAAACACAGTCGGCAGACCAAAGTCGGTGTCCAGTCTTTCTAGTGCAAACGAGCCTTAACTACGATTAACTAATTAGCTAACTTAACTAATTAACTAACTTAACTACGCGCCTTAAAAACGTTTATCCTGCACATGTGAAAACGAGGTCTCCGGTTCAAAACAAGGTGCAAAAGTTTGGTGCCTTGAAGCCCTGACCACACGTACGCGTTACGGCGCTTCAGCGCAGTGGTGAAGACTCGGCGCCACGCCCTCTCCCAACGGAGAGAGAGGACGCGCGGCTAAACAAGCCTGCATGTAGTTTCTCTCTCTCAAAGAAAGAAAGCGTGGCGCCAAGTCTACACCCCACGCACTGACGCGCAATAACGCGCGCGTGTGGTTAGCCTGCACCGAACACTGAGCTGCGCGCATGGGCGCGCCGTAACATTGGTTGTGTAAACAAGCTTTTCTCCTCAAACACGCGCCCGTTTCGACAAACGGGTTGCGCTTTCGGAGTCGTCTGCAGGCGAATCAATCGTAACTTGATATTGGTGCGGGTTGCGACGGCGGCGGTATACCGGACGCGTAGTATTGTGTAGCTCCCGAGGCAACCACGCGTTTGGGTGACAGGACGCGCACACTTGTATCGAGTTATCATCGATCGCGCCCTGCACTCGAAAACTGCCTAATTCAAAAGTGCAACCTCGAAAAATATGCCAGTGTGCGAGATACGCACGTTGAAAAAAAAAAAAAACACGACTGCAGAGGGGCTGGTGAAGACATGCACCGCTGCCGTGTCGTTGAATATAATAACAAGTAAAAAAAAGAAAACTAATGTGGACGCCAAAAGCGGTTGCTACCGAGGAATATGCGTATACATAGTATGCATTGGGGAGGGGGGGGGTCGGTATTTAAGGCAGTGAGCAACAATATCTGTGTCCCAAGTTGGCGCTGCTCTACATATCACGGTGCCAAAGAGTCTTAACGCGACTGCTATCTTATACATAGGTCAAGTCTCCATATATCTCTTGGCTGTTGCGAATACAACAACAACAGCAACAACAACAACAACAACAACAACAACAACAACAACAATAATAATAATAATAATAATAATAATAATAATAATAATATCATGGGTTCTATGAGCCAAAACCATCGTATCATTATGAGGCACCGCATTCTTGAACGTATACACCTAAATCCAAGTGCACAGGCAGGAAATTCTGTTGTGCCATATACGAAGAAAGTACGACAAAAGAAACAGTGAAATCAGAGACGTCATCATTAAAAATCTCAGTGCAAAATTTAAAAGCGATACTTTTGATACTGTTTTTCTCACGCAGCATATATACGCATGATGGCGAAATCAAAGACATTAGAGTTTTTAGAGCACAGATTATTAGTCGAAACCGATTCATAGTTTGTCTAACTGTGAAATGTCATATTGAACAAACTCGGCGCAATGCGGTGTTCCCACTGTAGCAACAATATCTGGGGTTTTATGGCCCAAAACCAGATATGACTACGGGGCACGACGCGGTGGAGCGCTCCGGAAATTTCGACCGCCTAGTGTTGTTTAACGTGCGCCCGCATCGCACAGTACACGGGTCACTAAGCATTTTGCCACCACCGAAATGCGACCGCCGGGATCGAACCCGCGACCTTCGCGTCAGCAGCCGAACAGCGTAGCTTTGTACTTCCCGCTGCGCGGCATTCCCACATTCGCGCGCTACTCCACTACGCGCTTGCACGCAAGAACACAGTTTACAAACAGCGCAAAGTGGGATCCTATCGGAGGGAGGAGGAGGAAGGTAAGAAATGAAAGGCAGGGAGGTCAACCAGACGCACGTCCGGTTTGCTACCCTGCACTGGGGGAAGGAATGAGGCGATTAAAGGAGAAGAGAGAGAGAAGTGAAGGGCAACGTGTGTGTAGATGCGACCTTGTCCATTGCACGCTCATAAGCAGTCGCGTAGTCCGGTCGTTTTTAGAAAACTTAGCAATGCCCGCGTCGCTTTGCTGGCCTGCGACGCGTAGAGCCATGAACCAAGGATGTTCTCTTGGGAAAACGGTCTACTGTCTAGTGTCTCTAACGTTTCGCGCAGCAAGTTGCGTTCGCTCGCAAAACGTTCACATGAACACAGTAGATGTTCTATGGTCTCGTCAGTGTCGCACGATTCACATCGGGAGCCTAACGGAGTGCATATTGTAGCGCATGGGCGTCGGTAGGGGAACTAAGCCCCCCTAAAGCCAGAGCAGAATTTGTACAACCCGAGCCCCGCCCCCCAAGATATATCAACTTCCCACTCCTTTCAAAGCTGCAGAGGTGCAAGATGGCTTTGCACCCCCGTATGTGTTTAGAAAGAGTTCTTTACATTCGAGTACTTTGTAATCTACTATGGAAGAGCATATAGCCGTCCCGTTACGCTTGGCGCAAACTACCATGATTTTTCAATAGATAAAAGTCCAAACACTAAGTGAATGCTGGCGATGGGACGAAGCAAAGTGCACATGGTGATGAATCGTAGCCTTCTACTTTGTTCTGGTTAGCAGTCTTTTACTTTGTTCTTGTTAACCTTTTGTTTTGCTATATGGTTTAATTTATGGGCGGGAAAATGTCGGTGTTTATTTCGGTGTTGTGGCTTTTTTTTCTGCATGTTCCACGGCTTTTTGATAACTTTTTTGTTGGGCACAGATGTTTCCGTTTCTACATCTGCTGTAGACAGTTCATGGACGGAGGGACATTGTGCGGTCTTATAAGGTGCTTCACGCCCTTAATGTACTGCCAACTCTCATGTCATAGCGTCACACCGAAAAA